TCTAAGACCTGAGGTTTTTTTTTTTTTTTTTAGAACAAAGAGTATCCGAGTGATGCAAATGGTTAACACTCTAACCAATATGTTGGAGGTTCAAGTCCACCAAGAGGTGCCTCAGAAGAAAGGCCTGGCAGTCTACTTCCAAAAAATCAGCACAGTTCTACTCTGACACACATGGGGTCGCCATGAGTCAGAGTCAGAGTGGACTAGATGGCAACTGGTACTGGTTTTGGGAACAAAGCAGGGCTTCTAACAGGTTCCTTCTGGTTCAAACCCCTGCTGAGAATTTGCATTTCCAACAAGTTCCCTGCTGAGAATGTGCATTTCTAACAAGTTCCCAGGAAGTAATACATAAGAATCACCTGGCGAACTTGTTAAACTCTAGATTCTGATTCAGTATCTGTGGTGGAAATGCAAATTCTCAGCAGGGGTTCAAACTGGAACAAAGGAAGTGGAAACCTTGCTCCTCCAGCTATCTAAAGCCCAGCTTCACTGCAGTTTTACAGAAGGGGAGATAACTTCTTTCCAAAAGAATTTCATTAGCATTTAAATGTGTGCAAATCTCTCCAACTTAAAAAAACAAACCCTTCCCCTCCCCTCCAGCTACAGCTCTCCTCTCTCCTGGACTCCACAATCCAATCCTGCTTCTGCCTCCTCATTCCACAGAAACCACTCTCTCCAAGGTCTCCACTGGCCAACCTGTCACACAGTCCAAGGACCTTGTCAGTTACCTCCCTGCTTGATCACTCAGAAATACAGGGAGCCTCTCAGTTCCCTGACTCACTCAGCCTCATGCAGTCCTTGGGCCTCCAGGGTGGGGCTGCTCCTCCATTCCCTGAACTGTGATCATGAGCACAGCACTCCCTAGGCCCCAGGGCTTCTGCAAGCCCAACCCTCCAGTCCCTGAGTACCCCTGAGCTTTAGCCCGGGGCGGGGGGCGGGGTGGGGGGGCGGCGAGGGGAGGGAGGCGAGGGGGGGCACTTGCCATCTCCACTTGGGTGAATCACAGGCACCTTAAGCCCCAAAATCAAACTTAGCATCTCTGCCCCCAAACTTGCTCCTCCAGGCTCCCCGTCTTATCCCAGGGAAAGGCACCCAGTAGCAGGCCACCCTTCACTTCCCCTCCCTCGCCTTTCACAATCCATCATTTGCCAAAGCTCGGTAATTTGACCTCCCAAAGCTCTTGAAGCCCCACTTCCCTCCATCCTCACAGCCATCACCTCTCCTGGACGCCCTGCAGTAACTTCCTGGTTAGTCTACAGCAACATCTCTAGCTGAGCACCAGTCCTTTCTCTACACCACAGCCAGTGTGGCTTTGCTGTGGTTGTTTGGTGCCATCAAGTTGTTTCTGACTCGTAGCGACCCTATGTACAACGGAATAAAATAATGCCGGGTCCTGTGCCATCCTCACAATTATTGCTATGCTAGAGTCCCTTGTTGCAGCTACTGTGTCAATCCATCTCATCGAGGGTCTTCCTCTTTTTCTTTTTTCTTGGGGGGGGGCTTCCTCTTTTTCACTGACCCTCTACTTTGCCAAGCACGATGTCCCTCTCCAGGGACTGGCTCCTCCTGATAACAGGTCCAAAGTTAGTGAGACAAAGTCTCTCCATCCTTGATTCTAAGGAGCACTCTGGCTGTACTTCTTTCAAGACAGACTTGTTCGTTCTTCTGGCAGTCCATGGTATATTCAGTATTCTTCCCCAACACCATAATTCAAAGGTATCAATTCTTCTTTGGTTCTCCTTATTCATTGTCCTGCTTTTGCATGCATATGAGGTGACTGAAAATACCATGGCTTGGGTCAGGCGCACCTTAGTCCTCAAAGTGACATCTTTGCTTTTCAACACTTTAAAGAGGTCTTTTGCAGCAGATTTGCCCGATGCAATACGTCACTTGATTTTCTGACTACTCCTTCCACAAGCATTGATTGTGGATCCAAGTAAAGTGAAATCCTTGACAACTTCAATATTTTCTGTTTATCATAATGTTGTTTATTGGTCCAGTTGTGAAGATTTTTGTTTTCTTTATGTTGAGGTGTAATCCATACTGAAGGCTGTAGTCTCTGATCTCCATCAGTAAGTGCTTCAAGTCCTCTTGGCTTTCAGCAAGAAAGGTTGCATCATTTGCATAACGCATAATGAGTCTTCCTCCAATCCTGATGCCACGTTCTTCTTCATATAATCCCGTTTCTTGAATTATTTGCTTAGCATACAGATTGAATAAGTACGGTGAAAGGATACTACTCTGACACATACCTTTCCTGATTTTAAACCACTTAGTATTCCTTTGTTCTGTTCGAACGACTGCCTCTTGTTCCATGTACAGGTTGCGCATGAACGCAATTAAGTGTTCTGGAATTCCCATTCTTTGCAGTGTTATCCATAATTTGTTATGATCCACATGGTGGGATGCCTTTGCACAGTCAGTAAAACACAGGTAAACACCTTTCTGGTATTCTCTGCTTTCAGCCAAGATCCATCGGACATCAGCAATGATATCCCTGGTTCCATGTCCTCTCCTAAATCCAGCTTGAATTTCTGGCAGTTCCCCGTCAATGTACTGCTCCAACTGTTTCTGAATTATCTTTAGCAAAATTTTACTTGCATGTGATGTTAATGATATTGTTCATTAATTTCTGCATTCTGTTGGATCACCTTTCTTTGGAATGGGCACAAATATGGATGTCTTCCAGTCAGTTGGCCAGGTAGCTGTCTTCCAAATTTCTTGGCATAGATGAGCAAGCACCTCCAGCACTGCCTCTGTTTCTTGAAACATCTCAATTGGTATTCCGTCAATTCTTGGAGCCTGTTTTTTGCAACTGCCTTCAGTGCAGCTTGGACTTCTTCCCTCAGTATCATGGGTTCTTAATCATATGCTACCTCCTAAAATGGTTGAGGAAACCCTGGTGGTGGAGTGGTTAAGAGCTACAGCTGCTAACCAAAAGGTCAGTAGTTGGAATCTACCAGGCACTCCTTGGAAATCCAATGGCGCAATTCTACTCTGTCCTATAGGGTCACTATGAGTCAGACTTGACGGCAACGGATTTGGTTTGGGTTTTTTTTAAATGGTTGAATGTCAGCCATTCTTTTTAGTACAGTGACTCTGTGTATTCCTTCCATTTTCTTTTGATGCTTCCTGTGTCGTTCAATATTTTGCCCACAGAATCCTTCAAAATTACAACTTGAGGCTTGAGTTTTCTTTTCAGTTCTTTCAGCTTAAGAAATGCCAAGTGTGTTCTTCCCTTTTGGTTTTCTATCTCCAGGTCTTTGTACATTTGATTATAATATTTACTTTGTCTTCTCAAGCAGTCCTTTGAAATCTTCTGTTCAGCTCTTTTACTTCATCATTTCTTCCTTTCGCTTTAGCTACTCTACGTTCAAGAGCAAGTTTCAGAGTCTCTTCTGACATCATTTTGGTCCTTTCTTTCTTTCCTGTCTTTTTTCTTGTATGATGTCCTTGATGTCCTCCCACGACTTGTGTGGTCTTCAGTCATTAGTGTTCAATGCATCAAATCTGTTCTTCCAATGGTCTCTAAATTCAGGTCAGATATGCTCCAGGTCGTATTTTGGTTCTCGTGGACTTGTTTTAATTTTCTTCCACTTTGACTTGATATGAACAATTGATGGTCTGTTCTGCACTCGACCCCTGGCCTTGTTCTGAATGATGATATTGAGCTTTTCCATCATCTCTTTCCGCAGATATATTCGATTTGATTCCTGTTTATTCCATCCAGCAAGATCCACTTGTATAGTCGCAGTTTATGTTGTTAAAAAAGGTATTCGCAATGAATAAGCCATTGGTCTTGCAAAATTCTGTCATGCGATCTCCTGTGTAGTTTCTATCACCAAGGTCGTATTTTCCAACCACCAATCCTTCTACTTTGTTTCCAACTTTCAAATTCTAATCATCTACTGTGATCAACACCTACCAGCACAGGCACCTGAAGCCCGAGTATTTCTTCCTTCCTTTTGGGAACAAGGAGTCCCTGGATGGTGCAAATAGTTAACATACTCAGCTGCTAGCTGAAAGGTTGGAGGTTCGAGTCTATCCAGAGGAACCTCAGAATAAAAGCCTGGTGACCCACTTTGATTTTGGGGCTTAAGGTGCCTATAATTCACCCAGGTGGAGATGTAGAGTGGTCCCAGGAGGCTAAACTCAGAGAGATTCAGGGACTGAATTCATTGACAGATGGGGCTGAGCTACTGTACTGCAGTGCCTGTACTGTTCAGAGCTACGTCCCCAGCACATCGTGGGTATTTAATCAATGATTATTTGTTGAAGCAATGAGGGTTCTGCCCTGGTGGTGGAAGTGGGGGCTGTAGGGCCAGGGGAGTTATGGCCCTACATATATGCCTAATGCTCCAGCTCTAAACCCAGTTCTCTTGCCCCTCTAAGCAGCACACCAAGGGTCAGCTGGCCTGAGGGCTGCTTTAAGGAGGAACCCCTTTGCAGAGGCTGTGGAGAGCACAGTTGCCAAGTGACCCCTTTCTCTGGTCCCCTAGATGGTGAGCTCCTACCAACCCTGGTACTTGAACAACCAGGTGGCTGGCTTCTTTAAAGAATACGAGAAGATCTCATTCCTCACAGTCAAGGTATGGCTGGGGTTACACCCACCTCTTAACCAGGGCCTGTCCTGGGATGATGATTCAGGATTCAGTTGGGCTAGGTCCTCCTGGGGGTAGGGAGAGAAGCTCTTCACCCTTCAATTAGGACTAACGAGGAGCCAGCCTGAAAGAACCACAGTCCTGGCTTAAGACTCCAGATTTATTCTGGCCTGAAAGAAGCTGTGGGTCAGGGAACTAAGGAAAATAAATGCAGTTAGAGGCCTTGGCTGAGAGTCTAGGGTTATAAAAAGCTCTACCTAGGTTTTCAGGTCCCATTCAAATACTACCCTCCCTGAGAAGCCCCCCAAATGCCTTGAGGTTTCTCCTCAGTGCTTCCAAGCCTTCTCTCCATTCAGGACTCTAGATTAAAAAAAGAAGGAGGAAAAAAAAATTCTGCTGCATTTTCTGCTAAAAGAAAAAAAAAAAGCTTACCTATAAAATGCTAACTCTAGGTCAATGGTTAAGAAGTATCAGAATCACCTGGAGGGCTGATTGCTGCCCCCTCCACCCCTAGCATTTTTGATTCCGTAGGTTTTAGGGAGAGTCTTAAGAATTTGCATTTCTAATAAGTTTCCAGATGCTGCTGATGCTTCTGGTCAGCGGACTATACTTTGAGAACCACTGCTCTAGAGCAACATACACCATCAAGATAGCCAGTACTCACTATTTGGCCTATCTTCTGCACAGGGCTCAGGACACATGGTGCCCCAGTATCGACCTGCTCAGGCTCTGAAGATGTTTGAGAGCTTCTTGAGTAACACCTCCTTCTTGTGATCTTCCTCAGCTGCTGGTAGGGCTTCCCAGAAGCTGGGATCTCCCATCCCCCACCACCCAATCTGCTTCTCTTGGGGTGTCTCCCCTTCCACAAACTCTTCTCCTTCCCTAGATGCTCTATACTACTGTGACCAATATGGTGGAATCTGGGAAGAGGCAAGGGGAAAGGAAAAAAAGTCTATGTGGGGAGGATGGATAGTAAGCAGTTTCCTGGAAGCCACTAGAAGCTGTAGGGTTCCATCAAGCGTTCTGCCCCCAAATTGCTATGTGACCTTGATGGAGTCACTAAGCTCTATTAAGCTCTAGAGTCTTTATTTTCCTATCTGCAAAATGATAGGCCAACATTCTCAGGCTCCTTTCCTGCCCCCTAAAATTGATGGGGGTAGTCCCTGGGTGATGCAAACGTTAACATGCTTGGCTGCTAACTGAAAGGTTGGAGGTTTGAGTCTACCCAGAAGTACCTTGGAAGAAAGGCCTGGCAATCTACTTCTGAAAAATCAGCCATTGAAAACCCTATGGAGCACAGTTCTACTCTGACACACATGGGGTCACAATGAGTTAGAAATGACTCAATAGCAACTGGTTAGAGTTGATTGGAGGGATGAAATTCTTGACAGTGCTTTGGAAAGAATAAACCTTAGCACAAATTGCACTTTGAGAGGCTTTTTCATATAAAGGAAACTTTGTAAATTACTTCCTCACACCTCTATTCCTTCTTTTTTTAAAACAGATTTGCCTAGTTGTCTATTGCCTGCATCAAGATAGCATAATCGGATATGCTATATGATCTACTGCCTATTAAAAAGAAATGTTTCCCTGGAGATGCTTCTCTTAGAGTCATTCATTCATTCATTCAACCAATATTTACGGAACACCTACTATGTGCCAGGCACCAGGCTGGAGCCAAGTATTAAACACTCTGAAATACAAGCAAACTTGTCAAAATGCTTCTTCTTTATTTGGACCTGGAGTTTACTATGTCCTTCCTTGCACCACAGTGCACTACTCTAAAACACACAGAGTGTCCTAGGGCTGGAGCCCTGGTGGCGCAATGGTTAAAAGTTCAGCTGCTAACCAAAAGCTTGGCAGTTTGAATCCATCAGCCGCTCCTTGGAAAACCGATGGGGCAGTTCTACTCTGTCCTACAGGGTCATTATGTCTGAATCCACTTGATGGCAATGGGTTTGGGTCCCAGGGCTACAAAAACAAATACAGTGAAACCTGTGAGAACAAGAACCCATCAGGACTGCCTTGTTTTTCTGAGTCTCACAAGTTTTCCACTTTTGACAGGGTGCAGTCACCACTTTTCTATCGCTCTCTATTTAGTGGAAAATACTTGAGTTTTCCTTCTCTAACAGGTTTCCGCCGTACAAATGTCTGGCTTTCGCAGGTTTTACTGTATGGGCATATCTCTGTCCTCAGGGCAGTGAATGAGGCTAATTAGGCTCAGACTTTGGAGCTGGAATGGGCCTCCACAGAGAGATTCCACAACATTTTGCTCCAAAGATCTCTGATTATTATTTTCCCTATGGGCTCCAAATTTTGGAAGACTTTTGCCTACCAAATATGATGTACTTATTAAATCATAGCTACTATAGCTGGAGTGATGCTGTGGTTAAGAATTTGGCTGCTAACCAAAAGATCGGCAGTTCAAATCCACCAGCCACTCCTCGGAAAACCACTGGTGCAGTTCTACTCTGTCCTATAGGGTCACTATGAGTTGGAATCGACTCGATAGCAAAGGGTTTCGTTTTGGGATATAGCTTTTGGGTGGTGGGGTGGGAGAGGATAAATATTTCCTTTTGTTATGCTTTTTGAAATTCTGAAAGCTGTTCACAGGCCCTCCGAATAGTGCCTTATGGCCCTTTGAGAGTTCAAGGACCCCAGGTCATGGAAAGTCCTTTTCAAGTTGGTAGGGGTGGCTGTTCAGCCCACCTTTTTGGGTGCAGGGAGGAAGTATTACTTTAAACTACATTTCCTGTAAAAGTTCTGGTAAAAGCATTCTCCTCCATTATCTTTCAGCTTTGAGATTTTTGACCCATTCATTCTTTAGGTTACAGAATTGCTTGCTAATTATGACTTGACCTGTCTTTTTCTCCTCCAGAGATTGTAAACATTGTCAAGGCAGAGGCCCCTTTTTCTTAGACTCCTAACACTGTACGCTGTATTTCGAAGAGACTAAAATGTCTGATTGACTTATAACCTAGAGAGGGAGCTATGAAGTGGTAAAGAGGAGTTTGGGGGACAATCCTCAACTGCTTGTCCCTTGCCCCACAATGATGCCACCTAAAGATTTGCTTCTCTAAGAGTTTACCTCTAAAATCCCTAAGATGATGGCAGAGAAAGGTGCTAGGCAAAAGACGCTAAGTGTAAGCTGGGGGCTGAGATTGTGGCCAGAGAAGTGTCTGTAATACAAAGTGACAACCATAAGGCAGGGTCCCTGAGTGGGAAGAGTGATGACAGACCCCTCACCCTGGGCAGAGGATGAACAGCAGGGGCTGATGGCAATCACTTCCAATATCAGTTCTGCATTCAGGGACAGTACAGAGAACTGGAGCAGAGTCACAGACTCAGTCCAGCTCTGAGTCTGTAGGGAGTAGTCCTAGGTCTGCTCATCTGTCTAGAGCCCAGGAAGGTTTCTCAATCCACCTTTTTTTGCACACATCCATTTTCAGATAATCCTAAACTGACCCTGAGCCAGGGACGCTCTGTGGCCATCCCCTTTCCCTCTCTAGCTCCTTCCTTCTTCTCTTGGGAGAAGAGGCAGAAGGAGAAACAACTTTTAAAAAAAAGACAGAAGCTTCCCAGATCATCTTGAAACAAAACTGCCTGTTATGGAAAGAACCGAGGAATTCAAATGTAAACTCACCTGGAAAACACCAACCACACAGTGTTTTCAGCACCCATCTGACTAAGTTAGCACACTCTGTCTGACTACGCATCTTATTTTAATTTTTTATTTATTTATTTTTGCTTGAAAAATATATGGTCACCGATGGGCCACTGAATATTAGAGTCGGGATCTTAGAGGCTACTCAGTCAGGGGGGTTTTCGAACGAGGGCTCAGAGCATGGTGACTGAGATGTGGGCCCTGAGGTCAGATAGCGTGGGTTCCTTGCTCCGCCTTTGATTAGACATGTAACCTTGGGCAAGTGTCTCAACCTCTCTAAGAATCTGCAAAAAAGGAAGAACACAGCCCCTACCTCACAGAATCCTGAGGCTTGGATGAGATAAAGCATGTAAAGTGCTTAAGCATGTGGTAAGAGGGTGTAATACTTTCAACTCTAAAAATAATAGTTGTACTTTAAGAATATGTTGGTTGAAAAAAAAAAAAAAAACACATGTATGTATGAATTCCAGAACCCAATCTACCCTTCACAATTTGCAAACAACTGAAGGCTTGTCCAATATTCTCATAATAATGAAGAAGGAAAAAGTAACCCAGGGAGGGGAGGTGACTTTGCCACAGGCACACAGAAAGTTGGTTTTAGGCACAGCCAGTTTTAGGACTTGGGTTTCTGAATTTCTCATTGGGCTCTTTGCAGTGTGCCTCCCTGGCCACCAAAGGACTACCAGGGTGTCAGGTTTGGAGCTATGCTGTGGTGACAGACTGAAAAATCAGAATTTAGAGTTAGGTTGTCAATGGGTCACTCTGGATAAGACAGAAAATCCTAAGGTAGTCATTGTTCCACTTACTGTCAATTGAAGTTACTACCTTACCCGAAAAATGCGACTACTAATAGGAACACCTAGGTCCTTGGATGGTGCAAATGGTTTGCTCTCAACCTAAAGGTTGGTGGTTCAAAACTACCCAGTGGCACTATAGAAGAAAGGCCTGGTGATCTGCTTTTGTAAAGATCACAGCCAAGAAAATCCTATGGAGCAGCTTTACTCTGTAACACACAGGGTCACCTCACCATGGGTTGGAATCAACTCAATGGTTATGGGTTTGGTTCTGGGTAATAGGAACATAGAATAATATCCATCACTATCTTGTTGATTTGGACTCATAGAGACCCTTTAGGACAGAGTAGAACTGCCCCATAGGATTTCCTAGGCTATAATCTTTACAGAAGCAGACTGCCACATCTTTCTCCCATGGAACAGCTTGTTAGTTCAAACCACTGACCTTTCAGTTAGCAGCTGAGCACTTAACCACTGTGCCACCAGGGCTCCTATACATAGAATAATAAGGCTTTGTATTTATTTACCACTTTCCAAGAAACTCCAAACATTTTATAACATAGTTTGCACAGATTTCAAAGCAAGTCTTTGTCTTCTAGGTATTTTTTTTTTTTTTGCTTCTATCCTTAACCCAATTAAGTAAAGCTTTTGTTGCCCAGCACTTACATTTTCTTTTCCAAGTTATTTTGGGAAACAAAGAGTTTGTAAAGTTCTTCCAGAGCCTTGTATGTACAGTTGTGGGGTGAAGGCCTGGTAGGAGAAGGGGGAGGAAAGAGGCCAGGTGAGTAATTAACAGCTGGCTGAAATTTCCTGTTTCCAAATACGTTTGAACTCCTGTATACATAACTGCTGAGTTATAAGATGATTCAGACCTTTGTGAAGGTCGCTAGTAAAGCAGTCCGTCTGGGTGTGATTTCTAACTATTTTGTCTGTCAGTAAAAGGAGGAGGTGTACCACCTCTCCACTATCCCTTTCCCTTTGTAAACATTCCAGGAAACTCTCCAGCTTTCTAGCAAAGATAGAAGCCACCCAGTATTCATGACAGTAAGGTGAAGGACTTTGATCTCCAGCCTGTCATCTGAATTCTTTAGGTACTTGGTTATCTTCAAGTGTGCCCTTTGTGGGGCAAATTCTAGGAGTGATGTTGGGGCAGCAGCTCAGGGGGAGGGCTGGAAGTGTGGGCTCAAGGATCTGCAGTAGCCTCAATTTAAAGCAGCAAACCATTTTTTTGGCAGACAGGCTGAGAAGTGGGGGAAGGCAACTGAGCTTTATTTCAGCTTTATCTCAGGAGATCTGAGTTTGAGACTTGAATTTCC